GGGTTCATTCTGCTTTGCTTCCTGGGGTTGTGATCCTCAATGTCTGTTCCTAGGATATTGTGTAAAATTCTTTGGAGTGCTCTTTTGGTATTCATGAAGTTCTAAGGTGCTCTTCATCATGAAATGTTGGGAACAATGCTACATAATTCTAGGGAAAAATCATTTGAGTAGGCCTAGTTCTCCTGCCTACAGGCCAGCTATAACATTCCAAGACATAATTCCATTTTGGCCTCATGTCACAACTGAGATCTCAATAATAGGTGATGCTGTAATGCTCCAGGACAAGACCACACCTGTGGTAGACACCCTGGGAGGAACCAAATTTTAAGCTGCTTAGTTCCTCACCACTGCCCTAGCCCTAGTCTTTTGTTACACCTTGTTTATCCCTATGTGAAGTACTGAAATCTACCTATTCATTTGTTACATTTGTTTCTCCTGTTGTACTGAATAAAAGGTGCTGCAAGCTAGGGGTCTTTGTTTTTGCTGTGCAGAGCAGCACTGGTCAGACCCAAAGCCCAACTTCTTCTCAGTCTCATTTTTCTACCTTTCCTGTAATTCACCATGTGCTGCCATGGCTCTCAGGAGACTAGGACTTACTGCAGAGGTTCTGGTAATGTCCCCTTCCCCTGTTCCCAACAGTGAAAGTATCTTATTTCTCCATCAATTTTGAAAGATAGTTTTGTAGGGTACATCAATCTGGGTTCGAGGCTGTTTTCTTTTAGGGCTTGGAATATGTCATTCCAAACTCTTTTTGCCTTGATGGTTTGTGTTGAGAAGTCTGCTGTGATTCTGATGGACTTTCCTTTGTATGTGACTTGTTTCTTTTCTCTAACTGCTTGTAGAACTTTGTTTTCTAGTTGAGTTTCTGAAACTTACATTTTCAAAGTTGTTTTTCCTTCTTCTCTTCCTAATGAAGTGTCAGACGTTTCAATGCTAACAGCACTGATCCTGGAGCTATAGAGATTTGGTAAGGACTCAAGGCCCAGATCCCCATGCATATCTGCCTGCTCTGTATTGATAGTGTGTTGCCATATAAATATTTTCAGTCATATTTAATTATTATTTTTTTCTTTTTGGTACTGGGGATCAAACTCAGGACCTTGTGCTTGTGAGGCAGGCAGCAGAACCACTGAGCTAAATCCCCGGCCCCTTAATTATATTTTATAAGAGCATTTATATTTGTGATACACTTTTAAAAAGTATCGAGAGCTTAATAGTTTTATAAACACAGAGGCTGATTTTTGTTTCACAAGTTGGAAAATCCTAGAGTTTTAGGAATTTACATGGAGTTGGAGAAGAAATGTGAAATGTTTTTTTCTATGTGTATGATAAAAGTAGATCCTGTCTTAATGGGATTGTGTGCAGGTATGTTTTCTGAGGTGAAGTATAAGCCATTGAGAAGAATCTTGTGTTCTTATTTTATTTTCCTCCTACCAAGTAGATGCTTTATACATTAAAGATTTTTCTAATTTCTTAAACATTGGTAATTTGAGAGACTGTATTTCACTTTTTTCTTATATTTTGTCCTTTTCATTCCTGGCCAAGGACAAAGATAATGATTTAATTTTATAAAATTTTGGCAGCTTTAGGGGCCAGGGATTTAGCTCAGTGGTTCCGCCACCTGCCTTGCAAGCGCAAGGACCCAAGTTCGATCCCCGGTACCAAAAAAAAAATTTTGGCAGTTCTGCAATACAACCTTGACTTCCTTAACAAGTATAAATATCTGGTAGGTTTATCTCCTTAGAGTTCATATGTTGAGGACATTATCTTCAGTGTTGATTTGGAGAGACCTTTAAGAGGCAGAGTCTAGTGGGACTCTTTAGGTCATTGAACGTGTGTCAAAGGAAGGGAGATTAATGTAGTTATCATGGAACTCCAGTTAGTCCCTAGTCATTCTTTCACTTCCTGTCTTGTGATAGGATCTCTTGCTTCTGTACTCACTCTAACCATTATGATTTCATCCACCATGAGGCCCTCATGAAAATTTGCAAGATGCCAGCACCAGGACCTTGAATCACCAGATCTATGAGCTCTCTCATAGCACAAACTAACATCGGATTTAAAAGCCATAAGATGAGATAGAGAATTGCAAAAAAAGCAGTCTGACCCAACAAGAACTTACAATACTTGGGGCTCTTTGAGGAAAATGGTCCTCAAAAAGGTTGAGCAGTACCTCTTCTGTGTTTCTGGAGGGATCTTGGGAGTTGTCAGCAATTACCTTTGGGTCCTCTGTCAGATGCCAGAGTGTAAAAAACAATTACAACGACGTCAGTGTTATGTTCGGATAAATTTCCCCCTAAAGCCTATATGACTGAGGACTTGGTCCTCAGGCCATGGTACTGCTGGGAAGTGGTAGAAACTTTAGAAGGTGGGACCTAGTGGAATGAAGTTAGGAAATTAGGGGTATAATCTAGAAGGGGACATTGGGACCCCATCCTGTCCTCATCCTCTCTCCCTTTTCTTTCTGACCATTATGTGGTAAGCAGCTTCCTCTGACATGTGTTGCCTTATCACAAATCCAAAAGCAGCTGGGTCAACTCACCACATAGTTTGATCATTGTCCACTGTATTTCTGAAAGAAATACTGAAGTTTTAACCATGGTTAGACTGTTATTTTTAGACGCCTCATAAATTTATCCATAGCTAAGCTTATATGGCTTTAATTTTTCTCTAAGATACTTCCCTAAATCCTCTTCCACCACCATATCCACAGTGTCACAGGGATGTGGTAAATATGTCAAATGCCTGCAGATGGTAGGTGGTGGTGTTCAAGCCTGTGCAACCAGTACTGTCTAACACTGAAAATACCCCACTTAATATTTGCCTCTCTGCCTTGTTTTAATTGGATTTGTGCTCTAGGGGGCATTAGGTTAAAGTATACAACAATGTAGAAACAATATTGCATTCTGGAAGCCAAGTCAATTAATCACACAATGCATTTTAAGAGTTACTTCTAAGAAATTACTGCATAAATTAGGCCCATTGCAATTGCTGGGTAGTAAACACAGAAAAGGCTGTTTCATGCAACCTAAAATACAGCACAAGTTTGCTACTTTAAACCTCCTGTGAGATAATCCTTAAAACCTCATTGTTGGCACCCACAAATGATCATACAGTTTTTTATACTCACATTGATTTTGCTTTCCCAGTGAGCCTATAATTACACATTTAATTTTTTCAAGCAGGGGATGATAAAATTTTTTAGTTTGAGGGTATTTTATTTTTCTCTAATGACTTTTCTCTCGTTTTTGTGTAACATTGAGGATTAAAACATAGGTAAAAGTATTTCATCTTTAATAGTATTAAAATTTCACTCAGTGGTTTCATCAAAGCAAAAAACATCAAATACAGTGTTTCTATTTTTATTTTCAATCAGGAGTTAGCAGTTTTATCTTGAGTCTTCTTATTTTGGGAATGTGTCCAAAATTGTAACACGGACTCTTTGTGGATTGAGTTTCAGGATCTCCTTGCACCATCATTATACAAATTATTTTTAAGAAGCATGGTTAAGGTACTCAGTAGAAGCTTCCCTTGATCTCATTAGGAAGTATCCAACTTTCTAGTAAGCATTCTCAGGAAGTACAATTATCACTGAACCAAGAATAAACATGTGTACTTTGTTATTCACATTTTCTCATCTTCTCCTACATCTGTTTGATTTCAGATCTCTGAGAAGGCTTGTTTAGTGATGGTTCTGAACCAGTTATAAACATAGCACAGACCAGCCACTCCAGGGGGAAAGGATGGGAAGGTGTGGATTCAGGGCTTACTCAGACATGGTTCTGAGATGTGGAGGAATGATTTTGAAAGAAGCCAATTTGCAGAGACAAATGGCAAGAGAAAGGAACAAAGTGGGTCTTCAATATCCTTGCTTCCACTTTTCCTGAATGGACTTTATTTTCTTGTGGAACACAATGAATTGACATTTTTTGCATGTTCAAATTGTGTTTGTTTTATGTTAAACAAAAGACCTTCTGGGTTGGTTACATCACCCTTAAGTGTCTATATCACTTCCAAAAACTTCTGTTAATCCCCACTTACCACATTGCTTGATGTTTGAGTGTCTCTTGTGAGGAGAAGCTCTGTCGCCATTATTGTTTGTGGGTAATAGGTAAGTGTTGAATGAAGAATGAATGAATTAGCAACCATATTGATTTCGTGTCCTACCTTTTGTCCAACAAGAAATGGATTTAAATTTACTTGACTTTCTGTGTTGTAGTTATATAATGACTTTTAAGACACACATATAGAAGTTGCGAATTTTTTTTCCTATTAACCAACATTCACAATATTTCTAGTACTGTAAAGCTGTAATAATATAGACCCTTCCACTTCTTTGTTTTAGCAAAATGTAGTGAGTTCCTGGAGGATGGTTTCTTGAGATTGTCCTAATCCTCTGTAAGAATTCATATCTATGTCATTTCAAGTATAGAAATATATTTTATATTTATTTATAAATATAGCACTGTATGCTTTCTGTAACAAGGATCTTAACATGTTGAATTTTCAGGAAAACTTGCTTATCCTGTAAAGCTTTCTTATAACTTTTATCATGTTCATCTGAGGAGTTTTCCAAGTAGCAAGGCTGGCCTTTGTTTTTTTAATTTTTACTATCTATAATTTTCTCTTGAGTGGTATTCTTCATGGTAAATGTTTTGCTTCAATTTGAGTTCTTGCAGATAATACCTTGTAATTGTTAGTAATTAAATTCATAAATAACATTTTTTTCTTTTTACTTATATCTCAAGTCTTCATAGATAGTTATTTTCAGAAACTAAGCAGGATGTTAATAAACATTTAAAATGCTTGCTCTCCGTACTCCTTGTCCCCACTTTAATTTTCAGTGTCGAAACTAGTGCAGTTCAGATATGTATCTGTTAAGACTTGTTTTCCCCTCAGTTTGGTATTATTCTACCTAGTAGGAGTGCAGATACCAAAGAATTTTCATTTTTTATTTGTCTTTTTTACTCTGCCTTTTCACCAATAATTGCTATGAAATATCACTAAAATGTAGCCTTATTCGCATTTCTAACTTTCGTAACTTGGCAGTGGACTAAGAGTTTTCTTCTTGAGACAAAAATATGAATAAGTAAAACATTTTAAAAAGAATAAGTAAAAATACAAATAATTAAAAAATAAAAATGTATTTCACTAATTTTATGGGCATTGATTACATGTATCTTCCTTATTTACTTCAGTTGTGATCTGCTATGTAGTTCTATAACATCTTTCTGATTAAAAACGAAATATTTCTTATTTAAAGAGAGTTAGTATACTTTAGTCCTCCTCTAGATGCCTAAAATGTTTCTAATGAAAAAGAGATAATGAGAAATGAGTTTAAAAGTAATGTTAGTGGTTGAGAATTTCCTTGTCATATTCTTTAGGAAACTTTTTGCAGATTAAGACCTATAACTGTTACTGTCTTGCTGTTTCTCATACTTGGATTTCTAGCAAAAATTATGTAATTTAAATAATACATTGTGAGAATTTTGGGTGCTATAATAATCATTTTAGGTATTCTTACTCCTTTGTATTTTGACAAGTGAACTCTCTGAAACTTTAGCTGGGTAAAATATGAAGAGATAAAGATGATTACTTTTATACATGTGAAATTTCAGTTGAAATCCATACAAACAAGTGTTGGGATAAAAATTAAGAATAAAGATTAGTGCCCTGGGTGCATTTGGGAATCATCCAGGTAGAGTAATGCACTAACATCATGTTAAGAAACCTAAAAGCATTGAGGAAGTTAGAGAAAGAACCAGTCCAATGCTACCAAAAGAGATAGTTTCATGAAAGAAAAATTAGGCAAATTCACATTCTTTAATTGTGTAAGTAAGAACCTGAGCTATGCCTTGAATTTAAGAAATTCTATGATTTTAGGCAGTTTTAGTGAACTCTGGAAATTAGATTTTAATATACCAATGAGTAATAAATGAAAGATGAGTAACAAAGGACAGTTTAAATGATTTAGCCCAGTGGTGGTGAACCTATGGCATATATGCTGCAACAGGCTGTTTATCATTGAAAGCTCTAAAAGGTTCTCCATTTCTGACAGCCTGTACACATTAAGAAAAGGGAAAAGTGATAATGACTTCAGGGTAAGGTAGAATAAGGGAAGTTCCTATTTGAATTTGGGAAATTTGAGCATGGAGAAACAAAGAGTGAGAGAAGCAAAAGAGGATAGGATGGAGAGAGGCAGATAAAAAGGAGGAGGAGAAAGAGGAAAGGGGAAGTGTCTTGAAATTAAATTAGTATCAGTTTGGATCCATATTGAGGTTGGCATGGACAAAGAGCTATACAAGCACTGTAGTGAAGTCATCCTCACAATTAGAGACTCCAATAGCGAGGCAATGTTTTCTAATTTGAAGTCGCATGTAAGATATATGACCCTTGAGCCAACTGTTCTTCAGTCTTGACACTGGTAATTCCTGTTAGATTTTGTGTCATTCCTTTACACCTGAAAACTTCATGCAGATGGGTCAAATGTATTAGAATTGTGGAAATCTTAGTACCTGCATTCTTGCTTTCAAAACAGGATAGATATTAAAGTATCTTTTTGGGCAACCAACCCAAGAATTACATTCTGGGAATTGCAATGAGAAGACTAAGTTCATCGTAGAAGTACAGCCTGTATCTGATAGTGCCATTTGTATCTCAATAACATAATATTTGTCACAAATTTATTTCGAGAAATTTTTTCTTGAAGTGCTTTGGATTTTAATTAGCTGAGGCAGTGCTTTCTCCACCAAGAAATCACATGTATTTGGTTTGAGAAATAAAAGTGTTGTGGCAATGCTTTATCTGCAAAATTACTGCTTTTAAAAGATTTATAGAGCCATATTCCTGTGTTGTTGTTTTTTTGTTTTTTTTTTTAGGATTCACTTTTATTTACATGAAAGAGTTTCCTTAAAATCTTGCTGCAGTTCCCAGTGGTAGTTACATGGTAGCAGGTATTCTGATTTGGGCCTCTTTATTTTAGAAAGCTTTATGCTCTGTTACACTCTGGTACTGTTCAACCCTAAATTATCTTAATCTTCTTGGTTGAGATAATAAGGACCTGGACTAAAAAAAAACTGTCCAAAGCAAACTATATATTTTTAATTAAGTGACATTAACTTGAATATCTTTATATCTATGTTTTCAGAAGTGCTGAGATCCTTGCAGTTGTGGTTTGGTTTACCCTAATGAGTTTACACTAATGAGTACTATTTTGATTTATAGGACAG